GTAGGTTTTTCCAAATGATCTTGAGCGAATGGTTACATTGCTGACATCACCTTTCTTTTCCTTCTCAAAGTGTGGATATTTCTTTCAAGGTCAGCATTTATTATAATACCTGTTTGCTCTCAGGTGGTGGTGGTGGTGCCAGGTTTTCTTCTTGAGCTGTTGACTGGAGTCATACTTTGATCAAAACAGGATCAAACATAGTTAAGAGTGCATTTAGTCTTTTGTTGCAGTAAAATTCATATTAAAAAATTAAATCTTGTCACAATGACATTTCAGCTTTGCTGTAAGTTTGAATTTCTTCTGAAAAGTTATTGGTCTCCACTGATTGTAATCAGGATTAAACTTCGAACATACTGACACAATTGGCAGAGAGGATGACAATATCTTTGCAGACTTTGTGTCATCCTCACTCTTGCCTTCCTACCTCTATTTGCATTGTCCACAATCTTGGCAATATTCACATCCTTTCCTCAAAGGCGTCTAGGGAGATTGATGTCAGGCAGTAGGCCATATGAACTGGCCCTTTGTGCCCTATTGTGTACTGTTTTCTCGTGCAGTAAGAGAAAGAGAGGGATTGGGTGAGATGAAAATGGGGTGGACAATGTGTAAATACTGGTACGGGCAGGGGATAAATTACGCCGGGTGAATGAGGAGGCAAGGCAAAGATCATGCTGGGTTTGTACGTTGGGCATTGGCGTGAGTGAAAATGAGTGAGGGCAGATGTTGCAGACAACAATGAAATTGATATAGCATGGGAAGTGGATGCAGTAGCAGAGAAAGAGTGAGTGTGAGGTAGCAGTGACAAGATGGTGACACTTATACAAAGGCCTTTCTTCCTGCATGGCTGGGAGTTTTGCTAGGTGATAGAACTGGCACTGAGGAAGATGGCAACTGCAGACAAGACTGGCAGAGTTTGGGTGTCATAACCTCCTCTGTTGGGCCTGTGGGAAGAGGACAGAGTCTGCTGTACAACCCTGTCCATATGGACCGTGAAGCCCCTGTCATCAATCACGGTGCCGTATTCCTTTTATCACTCATGACCTCTCGGAGTGTGTGCAATGATGAAGAACAGCTTCGGAATGCCCACCGATGGTGCCAGTACCAGGCAGCAAAGTTATCTTGGGATATTCGTGCAATGGCAACTACATCTGCATGCAGGAGATTCAGGCTAATATCAGAGGAAAGCATTGCCATACAGGTGCGGTAGGTGGTTAATGAGTTGATTTTGGGACGATAGTACAAGAAAGCTTTATAGACCTTACAAAGTGTAACCCTCCATGAAACCTGGCGAAAATAACAAAACTCGGTCCAGTGAGTCTCAACACAAAAGATAGCTAACTTCATTCTTATTCCTTTTTCAAGATTTGTTTACCAGAATTACAACTGAAAGTCTAAAGAGAAATAAATATCAGCTTAAGCTGTTGCCTGCTTCCTGATTATGATCATGTCACTGAAAATTTGATTAAAGAACATTGCCGTCACTCTGGTATTTCTAAGCAGATTTGCTGATGAGATACTCCACTGCAGTGACTTTGGGAACTACAATCTCTAATTTCTCTCAATATATCACTATAAATGTCATCTTATGCATAGCTTGCTGACACTGGTTGTTGAATACATTTGCATATTAACAATTGTTTCTTAATCTCAAGAAGCTTGCTGAGTGAGGATAAAAAAAATCCTGGGAGCAGGTGCGCAAATGTGTTTTTCAATTTCTTATAATACAACGAGTAATGTTACTTCTTATTGTAACAATCATGTCGTATCCTGAAACACAATTCACTTGTCAGTGCTGCAGAATTTATAGAAATAGAATATGAGTGTGGTGGATAGCTTGCAACAGATCGCTTTTTGAATTGAATCCAAGCCATTACATTTTGGGATACCAGATTTGCATGTTTCCTCAATTGCATTATGTGTTACACTATCAAGTATCTAATAATGGAGATATAAGGGCGATAGCTGTTGTTACGTTCTTGAGGCAAATTTTAAATTCTTTCCATGGAGTATATACATCTATTTTCTTTACATTGCATAATGTGCAAAGCATGTGCTATTTTTAATGTTAATCAGCTTCTTGGAAAGATGCTGCAGTTGATTACAATTTGTAATTTTTTTCTCACCAATTATCTCCTTTCCACTCCGCTCCTGAAGGTGCTGAAACCTTGCTCCAACTGATTTCAGATTCCTCTAACTCATCAAGTGGTTGTAATTTTAATCTCAGCCTTCACAACACGTGACTGTGGTTTTGACTACACATTGCATTAGAGCTGGGACCCATTTATGAATATTCTATAAGGAACTCTGTAAAGTGAAGAATAGACACTCCAAGTATTGGCTTTGCATTTCCCTAACCCATGGATGCTGAGGTCCAGCTTGAGATCAGATACCTCAGTGGAAATATTTTTGATTGACTTATTTGACTGAAGTCTTTTGAAATTTCTCAGTGTGATTTCTAAATGATGAAAAGCTGGAGACAGCATAAGGTTCAAAAAGATCACGATGATCTAGGCATATAGATCATTAAAATATCATGAAGTGTGATAGAGAATAAGCAGAAGGGTCAATGGAATGCCGACCGTTCTATTGAAAGGTCGAGAATTCAAGGGGTAAAAATGTGTTATGAAACAATTTTTATCCTTGCAGGTTGTGTAATTAAGATTTATTAGACTGATACCTAGACCTCATCTGTTAAAATATGATGAAATTTTGCACCAACTGAGATATAGAAAGAAAAAGCTGTTTTGATTGAAGTGTCCAAGATACTAAGGGAAACGGATAAGGTCAATGCAGATAAATTATTTCCACTGACCCGGGGAGTCCAGTATTCAGGACATCCTCTTAAACACTGGAGTAGCACCTTGTGAGGATTGAAATTAGGAAACAGTTCTATACATAAAGGCTGGTTGAACTTTGGAACTCTCCTCCAAAAATGTAGAATAATGGTTGACGAAATCTTAAATCTGAGATTGATAGTTTTTGTTAACCAAATTTATGAAAGAATACAGGGTGCAGGTGGACATATAGAATTAGTTTGCAGATTAGCCATAATTTCATTGAATAGTCAAAAAGGCTCGAAGGGCTAAATTTCCTATTGCTGTATTTTACTATATTTCTTAGGCATATATCTCTATTAGATCTCCATGGCTTCACTATCAAGTGTAAAAATAGGAAACATGGATTGGATGTTGGCTGCTCCCCAAACTTGAAGTTCTTCCTTTTATTCATGTACATTTAATCAAAGAGCAGCTAGCCTGCAAGTTTGCCAACAAGTGTCACATTTTCGACAACCTCTGCCTCCCATTGCCGTTCCCACAGCCACCTAGTGGCATTACCGCGCAATAGAGCTGGCAATCTATAATTGACTGGAGGCACTCTGTCGGACAGAGATCTGCTCATGGGGCCCTTCATCCTGGGCCAGGGCCACTGCTGACCTGTTATGAACCTGAGCAATAATTTATATAATGAGCCTCTCCAAAAACAGGATTGCAAGTCTGTCAGCAAGATACCTGTTACTTCCATTAAATTCAGTCCTATGGTTGCGGTTCTAATTCATTTTTAAGTCTGTCTGAATCAGTTTTAAGGGTGTTCATCAATTCAAAGGTGATGGTACAATTTTGTTGAAAGATGAGACTCCGTGATTAGCTATGTTGCCTTACAGCGCTAAGGACCTGGGTTCATTTCCACCCTCAGGCGACTGTCTGAGTGGAGTTTGCACATTCTCCCTATGCCTGTTTGGGTTTCTGCCATGTACCCCAATTTCCTCCCACAGTCCAAAGATGTGCAGGTTAGGTGGATTAGCCATGCCAGATGCCTCGTAGTGTCCATGGATGTGCAGGCTAGGTGGATTAGCTGTGGGAAATGTGGAGTTATGGAGATAGTGGGGGGTGGGGTTGGTGGTGGCTGAGTCTGGGGGGGATTTTTTTGCAGGGTTGGTGCAGACTTGATGGCCTTCTTTCTGCACTGTAGGGATTCTATGATTCTATTGTTCAGACACACTGTTCTGGCCCTCTACAAAAAACAAAGAACTGCAGATCAGCAGCATCCGTGGAGAGAAAGCAGAGTCAACGTTTCAGGTCCAATGACTCTTCTTCAAACCCTTCTCGGCACATGTGCTCCCAGACCTGCTCAGTATCTCCAGCAATTTCTGTTTTTTCCCCTGAGTCTCCTCACCCGGGGCATTCCAAGCTAAGCTGCTATTAGCGAAAGTAACTGGGCAGCAAACATAGCAAGTTATAAACAGGCCTCATTTTGACCATAGTTATTCATATATGGCTTAAAGTTTTCACCAAGTGTAGTGTAACACCAATATAGTGCAGATTATATAAACAAAAGTTTGCGGATGGTTTATTGGACTGCCGATTTGCATTTAAAATTCAGCATAAAACCCTTTTTAATATTGGCCTAAGGTTGCTCCTGTCATTAATCTCTCGTAAAATAAACAAACATCCTTTGGCAAAACAAAGTCTGTGCTTGCCTTGGAACGTACCTGCAAATGGCTCAATCATCCTCTCCTAGAATAAGGAACTTTATAGCCAATTATGTCTATCTATAGGATGTGGCAACAGCAATCTCAGAATAGTTGCTACAGTGTTAAAAAAAGGCTGTGCCTCACTTGCTGTTACTGATACTGTGTTTAACAATGATTTAACATTTGCAGAAATATTTAAAAAATGGAGTGGTATATTTTTGTATGTTATGTTCATTGCAATGCACCTTTGATGCAGCAAAAATGTGACAGATTTACTATCTATGCTATACTAATAATTAACTGTGGAACTACAGGTAATTAAACATCCCTTATATCTGTACAATGTTTTGATATGTATTACTTGGGGAAAAACATATTTTAAGGTCATCTTTAAAAATGAGAAGTTGTCTGTGCAATGTTGCATTTTGGCAAATGGGAAGAATGATATTTTTGAGAATAATTCTGAAATATTCGTATGAGAAAAGTTCAATTTGCAGAGAAAAGTCAGCTTTGTTTTGTTTATCCACAGATCATTAAGCTAAAATTTGAAGAATTTGACCTGGAACGAGGTTATGACACCTTGACTGTAGGAGACGGAGGGAAAGTGGGAGACACCAGGACAGTGTTGTATGCGTGAGTACTGTCTAGAAACACCTTTTTGATATTTTTTGTTTTGGCTGTTCTTCTGACAAGGCTGCATTTATTCAGCATCCCTCGTTGCCGTACGATGATAATGGATGGGCCTTCTGTGTGAGCGACTGCACTTCATATGGAGGTGCATCTGAATATTGATGGTATATGTGGATTTCCAGGAGTCTGACTCAGCAATGATAAACAAATTGCAAAATATGTTCCTGACAACAAGTATATTATTCGGAAGATAACTTGGAGGTAATATCTTCCACAGCATTAGTGCTTCTGTGCTTCCTGGTGCTAGAGTTTGTTGCAAATAAACAGTGGTCCAAGCAGCCCTGATGTGCTTCTATAGTGCGGATTCAATATTGTGCATCCACCTCTGGTGAAGAAGGAAGTGGATAATAGAGTCAAGTGACAAAGACACCAATCAAACAAATTGCTTGGTTCTCGATGGTGGTCAGCTGATTGGGTGCTGTTGTAGCTCTTAGGCAGAGAGGATGCCCTCTAGGTATTATTGCTTGACAGTTAAACCAGAAACTCAGTTAATGTTCTGGGTTCAAATCTGGAATTAAGAAACTAATGATGACCATGAAATTATTGTTGATTGTCAGAAAAACTCATCTGGATCACTGATGTCCTTCAGGGAAGGAATTCTACCATCCTCACCTGGTCTAGCCTACATATGATTCCAGATCCACAGCAATGAGGCCAACTCTCAACTACCCTCTGAAATGCCTAGCAAGTTAGTCAGTTGTATCAATCATTGCAAAGTTCCAAGAAAGAAATGAAACCAGATGGACTACCTGGCATTAACCTAGGCACTAAAAACGACCATAGCAAAAACAACCCTTTCAACCCTGCGAACTCCTCCTTGCCAGCATCAGGGGTTTAGTGCCAAAATTGGGAGTGTTGTCTCACAGACTAGTCAAACAACAGCCTGACAAAGTCATACTCACAGAATCATACCTTGCAGACAACGTCGCAGACACCACCGTCACCATCCCTGGATGTGCCCTGTCCCACCGGCAGGATAGATCCAGCAGAGATAGAGGCAATGTGGCAAACAGTCGGGAGGGAATTGGCCTGGGATTCCTCAGCATTGATTCTGGACCCAATGAAGTCTCATGGCTCCAGGTTAAACACGGGCAAGGAAACCTGCTGTTTACCATATACCGTGCTCCGTTGGCTGATAAATCAGTGCTCTACCATGTTGAACAGCACTTGGAGCAAGCACTGACAGTGGCAAGGGCACAAAATATGTTCTGAGTGGGGGATTTCAATATCCACCACCATGAATGCATTGGCAGTGGCACTACAGATCGAGCTGGTCAGGTCCTAAAAGATGTTACTGCTAGACTGGGTCTGTGGCAGGTGGTGAGGGAACTAACAAGAGGGTAAGACATACTTGACCTCATAAGCACTGATCTGCTAGCAGCAGATGCATCTGTCCATGACAACATCAGTAAGAATGATCTCTGCACAGTCCTTGTGGAGACAAAGTACCGCCTTCACACTGAGAATTCTTTACATTATGTTGTGTGGTACTACCACAGTTCTAAATGAGACAGACTTTGAATAGATCTAGCAACTCAAACCTGGGCATCCATGAGGCCCTGTGGGCCATCAACAACAGCAAAATCATACTATAACATAAATCTACAACCTCACTGCCCAGCATTTCCCCCACTCAACCGTTACCACCAATCGAGAGGATCAACCCTGGTTCAATGGAGAGTGCAGGAGGGCATGCCAGGAGCAGCACCGGGCTTACCAAGGTGTCAACTTGGTGAAGCTACCAAACAGGACTACTTGCATGCCACACGGCGATCGCAGCAAATGATAGAGCCCACATGTAGATGATCCATATCGGCCTGCTCCAGTGGTCCCCAGCATCATAGATGCTAGTCCAAATTAATTCACTCCACATGATATCAAGAAATGGTTTGTGACAGTGGATACTGCAAAGACTATGGGCCCTGCCAGTATTCTGGCAATAATCCCGAAGATTTGTGCAAGAGAACTTGTCACACCCATAGCCAAGATGTTCCAATACAGTTACAACACTGGTATATACTTGACAATTGCCCAGGTGCGTCCTGTAACCAAAAAGCAGGACAAATCCAACCTGGCCAATTAGCACCCCATCACTCGACTCTCGATCATCAGTAAAGTGATGGAAGGTGTCATCAATAGTGCCATCGAGCAGCACCTGCTCAGCTATAACCTGCTCAGTGATGCCCAGTTGCCTGATGTGTTTTTGGATGATATCACTTTGGGAGGACAGGTCAATGAAAAATAAAAGGGGACAATCGATGGATCTGCTGTGAACCCCAATGGCAACGGTGCAGGAATAGGATTGAAAGCTATTGTGGGTGATTCTCTGATTCTGCTTAATTCTACAAGAAGAAAGCAGGGAGTGTCGTCCCAGCCAGATGGATATAAAGGTAAAAGGTATTTTCAGAAGTCCAGTTAACACAAGAAAAATGATGAGTTACAATTAACATCAATTGTGGCTTGGATGAGGCCTATTTCAATATCGTGACTGGTGGGAGAATTAATCAGAGGGATTTTCCCACATGGAATTGTGGAGAAGATTGGTATGAATTTGCAAAGTGCCAATACATTTAAAGACTTTGGAGATGAAAGTGAGTTGAGAGATGTGGCAATAGTTTGCAAGGATAGAGGGATTATGTTTAAGTTTTTCATGAGAGTCATGAGGACAAGAGCTGTGAAAGGATGTATAGCAACCAAAAGGAGGAAATTGTTAACAATATCAGCAAGCATGGAAGGGGCGCTGATTGATTAGCAATTGGTTCAGGATAAGAGGAAGGCAAGCTCAGGTTAGAGAAAGCATTGCATGAGATCAGATACAAAAGTGCGATCTCAAGGCCAGGACAGTGAGAAACATTTGAAGAATTTTATCCTAACGTTCTAAGTGAAGGGAGAGAGGCAACTGCTGAATGGTCTATGTTGGAAGAACAATGTATGTGGAAGGAAAGGTTTTGGGAGGGGAGGAATATTGAGAGTTTGGAGATGAGAAAAGGAGTAGGGTTGCAATGGGGGTTAAAATCAATGAGAATGAGTAGTTGTTTTGAGCAGAGGTTTTGTGAGAAAAGCAGAAATGATGTCTCAGTGAGAAGCTTAGAAATTTGAGTGCATGGTAAAGAACAAGGCTTTAAATGAGAGGCAAGAAGGAGAGATATTTGAAGAAGGAAAATTTACCAGAAGATTATTGGGATAGATCAAGTTTTGAGATGTACAAATGATTCTAGATGTAGCCAAGCAGGGAAACTTCATTAAGGACACAGGTAGTATCACTCGCTAGCCATTGTTTCAGTCAAGGCCATGATTTTATTCATATTTGTTCATGGGATTTGAGGATCAAGGCTAGGCCAGCATTTCTTGCCTATCCTAATTGCCCCGAGGAATGGTGAGCTGCCCTCTTGAACTACTGCAGTCATTGATGGTGTCAAGTTTCCTGAGTGTTATTGGAGCTGCACTCATCCAAGTAAGTGGGGAGTATTCCATGACATTCCTGACTTGTACTTTGTAAATGATTCAATGTCTGGTCAATGGTAACCCCCAGGATGGTGATTGTGAAGGATTTAGCCATGAGAATGTCGTTGAATGTTAGGGAGTGATGATTAGATTCTTTCTTATTTGATGTGGCCATAGCTTGGCACTTGTGTCGTGTGAATGTTATTGCCACTTATGAACTCAATGATGTCAAAATGATAATCTGCAATAAGGTCATTTGAGGGTGGATAAAATCATCAGCAGGTTCTGGGAGACTTAGATGAGGAACTGGATGCCATGCAAGTACAAACTGATTAATAACTTGCACAAGGTTCAGAGACATGTAGAGCTGTATGTCATAAGAACCTTTTTTCCATCAGGACCCAGCCCCATATGCTGTGATATCTGCAATTGGTGGAGTTGCGTTCTAGCTATTAGCATATAGCTGTTACTTCCATATACTGCAGGTAGCAACAGTTGAATGAACTAGCGTAGTCTTCCTGGTGACGGCTTCCTAACTCACCCCCTCTATATTCCCAGTTCGAGCACCAGCAGCTCTGGAGCTTAAGCAACCACACCAGGAGAGAGGTGGGTGCTGTGTGCTGCTTTGGGAGGTCGGGCACAATAAAGGGACCACAAAGTGAAGGAGACCTCTGAAGAAGAGTAACTTCAACAGGGGCCACAACAAAAATTTTATATGAATGCTGTACATACATACTAAAATTTTAGGGACATTTATGCAGCAGAACATGTAGATCCCTCTGCACCTTGGAATTTTGCGATAGTTCCCCATTTGTATAGTATTATGCTTTATTATTGTTTGTGTCGATGTGAACAACTTCATGTTTTCCCACATTGTGCTCCATCATTCAATCTATGTTTATCTGTCTGCAACCTCCTTACAACTACTTCACAGCATACTTTTCCACCCTATCTTGGTGTATTCTGTGAAATTAATTACTGTGCCTTCACTCTCCACTTCAAAGTCATTGATGTAAACGGTAAAAAGATGAGGGGCCAGTTCAGATCCCGGTGGCACTGCATTTGTCATATTCTGCAAATCAGATAAATACTTATTCACGCATGCGAGCAGCCAATATTCTATAAATACCAATATTCTACCCTAATACTGAGCTTTTATTCTCCACTGTAGCCTTTTATATGGTACCTTATCAATTGCTTTCTTGAAATTCAAGTACAATCCCTTTTCTTTAACCACAGCACATCACTCCTTAAAGTAAGTCTAATAAAATGGTTAAACATGATATTCCTTTCATGCAACCAATTGTCCCTTCCCAATTATATTGAGCTTTTCCAAGTTCTTCTGCGATTGATTCAATGCCTTCCCCATGTCAGATAGCAAGCTAACATAATTCCCTGTTTCTTGCCTCTTCCTTTCTTCAACGGATAGGTTATATTTACTATTATCAAATTTAATGGAATGACAGCACCACCATGATTGGCCCATTGTTTAAGATGGG